GGAAGGTATGGATTTGTTGAGGACAGAACGAGGCAGCCATCTGACGCAGATCCTGATGGTGCAGTTGTACTGGGGAGTCCTGTTGCTCCACCAGTAAATGGTGACATTTATACAGACATCAGCACTGAGAATGCTATGCTCCCAGGCTCAAGGTAGTTTTAGCAATTTGATCATTGATTGATTTGTATTAGCTGAATGGAGTACATAAGTTTGATGTCGAGCATATCATGTTTAATACGCAGGAGATTAAGCAAAGGAGTTGAATACTTGGTTGAGGCATCAGCAGCAGAAGCTGAGGCCATTGCTAAAACCCTTGCTGCTGCAAAAGCACGTCAGTCAAATGGAGAAGTTGAACTGCCAGATAGGGATCGTGGAGCAGAGGCTACTTCTAGTGGGAAACAAATATCCTCCCTGATAAAGCCAGAATCTGATGTTGGAATCAATTCTGCTCCAGCTGGAATACGATTGCATCACCGTGCTGTCAGTATTATAATTGCTGCTGGCTTAATATGTTCTTTTATCAGTTCATCTTTTTTCTCACTATATTGAATGCCCATACAGCATATCTGATTCTCATGGTTTGCAGGTGGTAGTAGCTGCAGAGACTGGTGGAGCATTAGGTGGAATGGTCAGACAGCTATCAATTGATCAGTTTGAAAATGAAGGCAGGAGGGTTAGCTATGGGACCCCAGAAAACGCAACTGCAGCAAGGAAGCTTTTAGATCGCCAAATGTCGATCAACAGTGTGCCCAAAAAGGTAGTGAGGATTCATGTACATGTTAGGTTTAGAGGTGTATTATGTTATACCTGTTTGTGTAGATGTGTATGTACTGTTCATGAAAATGGACATGTAGTCCAACAGTAATTACGTAAGATAAGGTTTCGTTGGGGGTTGCTAGCATTGGATGGTACGTATAAAAGGACAGTATGATGCACAAGGCTCCTGAGTGGGATCCCATTGGAAGTATCTAATCATGCAATCTTGCTCATAGCTTCCCCTGCTAGCTTGACCGTATTGGGCCAATTATTTTTTGCCATAAATAGGATGAACAAGTTCATGAAAAACTAAAAGAAATTGAACATTAATGAAAGGTTTATGTCTTCTATATTAATTGTTAGAATGTGTGTTTTTCTGTTTGATGCAACATGGAAGATCAGAACAGCAGATACATAAGTTTTTTGCTCTGATATTTTGATTGTTCATTAAAAAATATAAAGGTATATATATTTTTTGTTGCCAGCATAAAAAACATGCTGCATGTGGAAGCACAATGTATGCACAATATAAAAATGTAGTGTATGTCAAAGTAAAAGAAACCAGATATAAATGGATCATTTTGGCTCTATTTTCCCCTTAACAAGCTGAATGCACAATATAAAAATGTAGTGTATGTCAAAGTAAAAGAAACCAGATATAAATGGTTCTTGGCACTTATCAACATGCATCCAAGACGGTCAATGGTGGAGTCGGTATATCGTTTGTATATGACTTCTATGGAAAAGCCTTCAAAATCTGTGGAAATAACCCTACAAATTGACTTTGATTCTTCAATAATGCTTTACTTTTTGTATGTCGTACTCATTTGTTTATTTATTTACTGCCTTCTGTTGTCGGTTTGTAATCTTTTTGTGCTTTTTTGTTTATTTATTTATTTTTAAAATTCAATTTGCACCATTTCAACACTTCCTAAAGCTGCTCCTTTTCTGATTTTTCAGGTGATAGCTCACCTATTAAAGCCTCGTGGCTGGAAGCCTCCTGTCCGTCGACAATTTTTTCTGGATTGCAATGAGATAGCTGATCTATGTGATAGTTCTGAAAGAATATTTTCAAGCGAACCTAGTGTTCTGCAACTCAGGGCTCCTATCAAGATCTTTGGTGATTTGCATGGGCAATTTGGAGATCTCATGCGACTTTTTGATGAGTATGGATCCCCGTCGACTGCTGGAGACATAGCGTAAGAGATCCTCTTAGTACATCTTTATGGCTCATACATACTGCCTACAGTCTCAAGTCAGAAAGTCATCATTTCCGTGACTTTTTCCTCTTTATACTTGTTTTCAACTGGTTACATTTTATTTCTGGTGCAATTAGGAATAAAAAGTCTGTTTTTCCCCTCAATACTTCCCCTGTCCCAAAATATAAAATGCACCACTTTCTGTTTTGGGTTTTCCCAAAGAATGCAACGTTTCCTTTCTGGAAAGACTCCGTTCTAAATCTTCCTATCTGTTCATTAGTGAGTATTACAATATATCGGCGACATGATTTTTGGTCCACAAGTTTTCACTGTTGTCTTATTAAGGGTATTTTAGGTATGTGATTATTAGTCAGACATTCTCTCAAACTATTTGCCAAGTTAAACATTACATTTTTGGGAAGAGGGAGTAAGAATGTGTCAGGCCCATTATCGTTGATTTTTGCATACCTGCATTTCTCTTGCTAGCATGTCTATAATAACAATGCCTGTGTCATTAGAATTAAAAGTTATTGGTTGTGCTATGCTATTTTTCTACTTACCAGCATGTGCTTGTTGTAAAAAGTATCCACTTAATATTATTTGGGAAAAGTAAGATATGTGCTTCCTAAAATATGTCAAACAGATTGGTGAGACTGAATCCATAATAGGACTATACTTTAAATGATGTATATCAGCATTTAGTTCTATCTTTCTGTGAACGCACAGTATTTTACCGTATGCTTTGTACCTTGCTTGTCATCCTTTTTTTGTTGTCTATCAGATATATCGATTATCTCTTCTTAGGAGATTATGTTGATCGAGGTCAACACAGCTTGGAAACCATTAGTCTTCTGTTAGCTTTAAAGGTACTACTCACGTCCCCCACTGTTGTGTGGAAAATTGATTTAGTTTTGTAAGAAGCATGATTCATCATGGATGTTGCAATTGGGTGAATATTCAGGTTGAGTATCCACAAAATGTTCATTTAATTCGTGGGAATCATGAAGCTGCTGATATAAATGCACTTTTTGGCTTTCGAATCGAGTGCATAGAGCGGATGGTAATATCATGTTATTGGTTTTGTTGTTGCAATTTAATTTTGAGGTTGTCCATTTCAAATAATGGTCATGACTCGTGATATATTCTGTACAGGGTGAGAGAGATGGAATCTGGGTATGGCATCGGATAAACAGATTATTTAACTGGTTACCACTGGCAGCTTTAATTGAGAAGAAGATAATTTGCATGCATGGTGGTATTGGGAGGTCAATCAACCATATTGAGCAGATCGAAAGCCTTCAACGACCAATTACGATGGAGGCTGGTTCTATTGTACTTATGGATTTGTTATGGTTGGTCTTTTGATCCATTTATTGTTCAACTGATGTTTAATTTAATTAATTAGTAAAATTTTGACGGCTATCTTTCTGGATAGGTCTGACCCAACAGAAAATGACAGCGTGGAAGGCTTACGACCAAATGCTAGAGGTCCTGGGTTAGTTACTTTTGGGGTGAGTGTTGTTTCTTTCAAGTATTTTGGAATGGGTAGAATGTTACGAGCTGATCATATACGGCAGTTGTATGCCTACACATACATCACCGTCATTCTAAATTTTTCTTCCACCATATTTTCGTGATTGCAAAGGATTTCTGTTCTGGTTACAATTATTGACTTGTTGAAGTTTCTCTCCTAAAGTTGGTCCAATGTGTTGCATATTAAAATGTTTGAACAATTAGATGTGTGAGAATTGAGATGCTTTCTAATGTTGAGACGGAGACAATTTATGAAATATGATTCTAGAAAGTGTTTACTTAATGACTAATGTTGACAACTTATCATAAGTTTTTTTTTATTTGGATATAATGTTGTAATATAATCTCAGCATATAAAACAATTTTGCGTGTGTTTGTATTTACATCTCTCTATATAAAATTAACCATTCTAAAGAAAGGGTTGGATTCCGGTGAGAAGGAGAGTTATGGTGAGAAGCGTAAGAAGGAATCTCTACCCTTGGATGCACATTAGGATGAGATGCACCGAGATGAGATGCACCGGGTCAATCCCCGTATCAAGCATGATTCATGGGTGGGTTTGAGATTAAAGGTGATCAAGGGTCCAAATCCCTTCTTACGCTTCTCACCTTAACTCTCCGTCTCACACGATCCTTCGCCTCTAAAGAAACGTGTGTGCTAAATTAAGTTTCTGGAGATGAAAAAGGACAGATGTGTACACAAAAACATTTGTCCTAAAATTTACGGCTACAATGTATACTTATTTGAAGGTGTTATTTAAGCACTCATCCATGACTGTTCTGCTTGGTTATCTGGAGAACATACGTTTATTACTTCATTTATTTCATTTTCACCATCTTTTTCTTTTTTAATTACTTGCATGTCATTGTCACAGCCTGATCGTGTGATGGAGTTCTGCAACAACAATGATCTCCAATTGATCGTACGTGCTCATGAATGTGTAATGGACGGCTTTGAGCGTTTTGCCCAAGGACATTTGATTACCCTTTTCTCAGCAACTAATTATTGTGGTAAGTCTTCCATTCTTGATCCTGTTTATCTATACTATACTATACTATACTATATTATAAAGTATTTGACAAGAACTCTTGAAAACATATTATTAAGATTAAGGTACCGTTCATTAATGCAATTATCTCAAAGTTCCTGGTTACAAGTTATTATGGCATACATACAACGTTTTAGAAGTTCTTTTTAACTCCATAAAACTAGCACATAAAAAACTGATAAACATGTTCAAATAAAAATAAAGGATAATCTTAGTCGCTACTGACACTCTTATCAGTATCTTTATCCAGAGTTGCGTCAATATAACTAAAATAAATTTTATATTTATTTTCAAATTTAGAATATTTTAATTACAATAGAACTTTGGATTAAACTAATCATATGAAAAATGGAAATATTATAATCTTTAATTGGACAAGTATATTGTTATATTTGTTTCAGGTTTTTGTTTAGCGGATCTTCAAAATAGCAAACATGTTCAACCAAATATAATTTTTTTTCTAGCATAAATTTTGGATTTTATTTTGTAAGGAGAAATTTTATTAATTTTTCATTCTTGGTTATATCCCGCTGCTAGTAACTTATAAGTTCGCCATTTTACCAAAGGGCCTTTGGCCTAGCGGTGTGTGAGTCCTTAGCCTCCTAAGGAGGTCAAGGGTTCAAACCTCACCAAAGGTGAGGAGGGTGTGTGAGTTTATTTGTTCAAGTTGCTGTATATAAATATTATATAATTCAAAAAAAAAAGTTCCCCATTTTGATGTATATTGATTATTTCCACTTCTTTTTTTCCTGTAGGGACTGCAAATAATGCAGGTGCAATATTAGTCTTGGGTAGAGATCTTGTGGTGGTTCCAAAACTCATTCATCCATTGCCACCTGCAATTTCGTCACCTGAAACTTCCCCTGAACACCATATAGAAGATACATGGATGCAGGTACAATTTCTGTTTTTGAAACCTTTGCATTTTAGCAGGATCAATGTTAACTTTTATATATATTCTTGTCATGGGGTTAGGAACTGAATGCAAACAGACCACCAACACCAACTAGGGGCCGTCCACAAGTTGCCAATGATCGTGGCTCTCTTGCATGGATTTAGTTGAAGTCCATATCTCGGCTCATGCTACAACTCTGAATATGTTTTATGGTTGGTTCACTCGAGAGATTTCTAGGGCCATCATGCCCCACATAGTTAGTGAAACATTCTGAAAACGAAGATTTGAGATTAGAAGACACACCAAAAACAACCCCTTTGTACATTGACAAACGGGCAGGTTTCAGGTATTGGTCGTGTTGCTTATTCCATTGGTGGTATTTTTGTTCGTTTTTGTTAGGTGTATTCATTGGTTTTGTTTTCGGTTTTTTGGTAAAAGATAGAATGAGGTTTATATAGGTTTGTATCATAGAGAAGGTGGTGTTGTTTTTCTGTACAATGTAACATTTGTGTTCTCTTTCATTATAACACTTACATGTTAGAAGCATATTGGTTTATTTCTAAACTTTATTGTACTGATCAATGTACAAATGACCTTATTACCCTTGTTCGATGAAATGTTGGTAAAAAGTCTGTGTGATTTGTTCCTTTTCTTTTCATTTAGCTATTTCTTAAGGTGGCAAATGCTTATTCAGCTATGCCATCACTCGGGTCATGAAACCCTTGTCGGACTTTGAATGGGTATCCGTTTCTTGGATCAATTGGTTCGACGACTCTGTAAGGATAAACAAGCTTGATTTCGAAAGGTCCGGTCCATTTTGGTCTCAGTTTTCAAGAAAGAGTTCTAACCTTGAATTGTATAACAAAACCTTTTGACCAACTTTGAAATATTTTTGCAAATTCTCTTGTCATGCCGTCTTTGGGTTTTATCCTTGTAGATCTTGACATTCTCATAGGATTGATTTTTGTGTTCTTCCAACACATTGATTTGCAACCTCCTCCTTTCATCTGTATCATCATGTTTAGTTTCTTTAGAGCCCTAAAGTTTTGTGTTCAAGCTCTAATGACAGGTGATAAGCTTTTCCAAAGACAAACTTGTAAGAGGACATTCCAATTAGGGATTTATATGCAGTCGTATAAGCCTAAAGAGCAATCTAGTTTGAAGAACTGATCTTTGCTTGAAGGTTTTATCACTTTCTCCAAAAAAAACTATTGATTTCCATTTAGAATCCATTTATTCGAGGGTGATAGGCTTAGCAACTCTGTGGCTTATGCTATATTTTTCAAGCACTTCCTTCATCATGTTATTCACGAAGTGTGCCCTCATCACTAATCATGGATCTAGGGGTGCCAAATCTAGTGAATATGTGTTTGTGAAGGAATTTCACCACTGTTTTTGCATCATTACTGTGACATGCTGCAGCCTCTACCCATGAAATTTATTCCCCATACATCAAAGTGTTCAACTTCTAAAATTCCATGAAGGGGCATCTATGTCTCTAGGAAATAGATCCAGTCTTTTGGCATTCATTACATGTATTGACAATATTATTTGCATCATGAAAGAGTGTAGGCCAAAAGAATCCATCTTGGAGTACTTTAGTTGCAGTTCTTTGGCTACCAAAGTGTCCACCATATGCTGCAGCATGACAATGCTATAACACTGCAAGTACATCTTCTTAAGGTACATGCCTTCTCAAAATCTGGCCAGCTCCTAAACAAAAATGGCTCATCCCAAGGAAATTCTTTGAATCATAAAACAACTTTTTCCTTTTGGTTCATGGTATATGAAGGTGGAATGATCCCAAAGTTAGCCAATTTGCAATATCAACAAACACTGCAACGTTAGTAGCTGTTTATTAGGGAACTTTTCTTTTATTTCACCAACCTTTTTCTAATCCGGACAAGTAATCCGCAACTTGGTTTTCAATATCCTTCCTATCTATTATTTCTAGATCAAACTCTTGTGATGACAACACCCAACGAATTAATCTTGTCTTTGCATTTTTTTAGAAATCAAGTACTTGATGGTTGCATGGTTAGTATGAACGGTATTCTTGGTCCCTGTTAAGTAGGATCTAAATTTTTCAAAGGCAAAAACAATAACCAATAATTCCTTCTTAGTGCTTGTGTAGTTAATTTGTACTTCATTAAGAGTTTCACTAGAGCAATAAATGAGATGCAAAATATTTTATTTCTTTTGTCCCAAAACTGTAAGACATACACAATCATTTGCATCACACATGACTTCAAATAGTTTTGTCATCATTTACATCACACATGAGTTCAAATAGTTTTGTCCAATCATGTGTGATCACAAAGGTGTTGAAATCCAAACTTTTTTCAAAATGTTCAAAGCATGCCTACATTCGTTGCTGAGATAAAAAAGGTTGGTCATGATGCAACATCAGATAAAGTGTCACACCTCGCTAAAGCGGAATCACAAGATGTAACAGGTAAGCGAGTCACAGCAGCAGTTAATAAATAACACCAATTGGGATTTTACAAAAACATAACAAGTTCAACTCCATAACCAATTTGAGATAAATACATCTTTTACAAGAACTTCAATTTCGAACTTAATCGGTCTTGACACAAGTGTGCTCCAAAAATACAGCGTTTCTTACTTATTACCTGAAAAGCATGGAACAAAAACAACGTCAACTACAAAGAGTTGGTGAACTCACGAGTTTTCATATGCACAAAATATTACAATGCATAAATCATTTACTAGCAAACATATACATAAACTTTTGCACTTAATAAATGTAATTCTAGCACGATGTACAAACTTGGGACGCTACTGAGCCTTACCTGACCAACGTGCCCCATTATTTTACGAACGACCATAAGCAGCCCGTACACTTACTTAGGTCCCACGGTTCGTTATAGTACTAATTCAGCGGTGGTCCAAAAGTCATTTTATGTCCAACTTGTTACATCATTTAAAATAATGAGATCAGCCGACTATTCCAAATATCAAGAAGTTTGAATGAGTTTTAAATTCCTCATCATTACTCTACAACCTTGAGTTACACAGCCCCCAAAACATATTGCACGCTCACCGAGCGGCAGTTATTTGGGGCCGGACTCATCATTTTCCAAAGGTAATCACCATTTTCAAGCTAGCAAAATAAATTTAAATCTCCAGGGAAGAATCTTTCTCGATTCCATTTGAGTTTTCGAAGAAGTTATGATAGATTAAAGATGCATGCAAGATTTATCACTTCAAAACATAGCTTTACATGCTTAAACTTTGCATGCAATGGATTTCCCCTTCCTACTTTGGAGTTCAAGGAACATGGCTCATAGATTATTATCCTCTTTGAAGACATTTTCATGTTTTCGATGAATAATCTCCCCTCTTTGATTTTCCAGAAAAAAAAAATTCAACTACATGGCCGAGATGTGGAGGAAAGAAGATACAAACTCATGATGTTTTACAAAAGTAATATAACTAGTATCGTACCTCTTTCTTATAATCTTGAAGGATCTTCAAGATTGAGAGAGAGAGAACTTCTAAAGACTTTCTTGAAGGTGAAATCGGCTGGAGAGTGATTGATCATAGGGAGAGTTTAGAGAGATGAAAAGTTTCAAGTTGGCGATAATGAAAATGAGAGTTTTCATAGGATGAGGGGTATTTATATGAGAATTTTAATGAAATAAATGGGCTGGCCTCTAAAGGCCCAAACCAAATAAAACTTCTATTTTTCTCAATAAGAAGAAGCTCACTATAATATTTACCCAACATAAATAGAATGACATTATTAAACTCAAAACTCCATCTTTTGATAAATCAAGTGGACATTCAAATGAGATTTTTGCATTTTAATTTAAAAGTTTATAATATCAACTTTATTTTATTTAGAGCATTTCAAAAAATTTGGCATTACACAACTTAACTTTATCAATTGCTGCTGAGGCGGATCTTCCAAGCTAAACTTTGAGTGTTGAGTTAGATGTACTCTAACCACCATAACTAGATCCTAATAAATTTATATTTCTAAATATAGGATCTATAATAAACTGCTAACGTGAGACTCCGAAATGACAGAATGTCACAGTCTTCCCATGTTAGAAAAATTTCATCCCGAAATTTATTTATCAACCTCAGATCAAGACTTGCTTGCGAACAAATGGGGATATTTGTTTTTCATGAAATCTTCTCTTTCCCACGTGAACTCTGGCCCATGCCTCGTAGTCCAATGAACTTTCACAATTGGGATCCTGCTATGCCTCAATTGCTTGTCTTTATGGTCGAGGATTTCAATCGGTTCTTCAATGAAGCGTAACCGTTCATTAATTTGAATATCTTCCAAAGGTATAACCAATGCTTCGTTGGTTAAACACCTCTTAAGATTTGATACATGAAATGTATCATGGATGACACTCAGCTCTGGGGGTAAACTTAATTTATATGCAACCGGTCCTACTCTTTCAAGTATTTCAAATAGACCCACATACCTTGGGCTAAGCTTTCATTTCTTTCCGAAGCGTACAATCCCTTTCTAGGGAGATACCTTTAAAAGACTTTATCACCCACTAGAAATTCCAATAGTTTCCTTCGGTTATCAGCGTAGCTCTTCTGACGATCTCTCGCAGCTTTAAGCCTTTCTTGGATGATTGAGATTTTGTCGGTTGTCTCCTGGATAATGTCAGGCCTAGTTAGCTGTCTGTCACCAATCTCCAACCAGCTGAGTGGGGATCTACACTTACGCCCATACAAGGCTTCATATGGTGCGCACTGGATACTAGTGTGATATCCATTGTTGTAGGAGAATTCAACCAATGGCAGATGAGTATCCCAACTGCCCCCAAAGTCTATTACACAGGCTCGTAACATATCCTCCAGCGTTTGGATTGTCCTTTTCGTTTGCCCATCCGTCTGAGGATGATAGGAAGTGCTCAAGTCCAGCCTTGTGCCTAGTGCCTTTTGAACTGATTGCCATAATCGCGAAGTAAAACGACTATCTCTGTCTGATATGATGGAAATAGGTACTCCGTGCGGATTTCGTAAGTCGATCCACTATGACCCATATTGAGTCATATCCTCTCCTGGTTCTAGGTAACTTTGTAATAAAATCCATGGATATCTGATCCCACTTCCATTGGAGAATCTCGGGTTGCTGAAGAAGACCAGATGGTTTCTGATGTTCAGCTTTTACCCTTGCGTTGGTTAAACATCGACTTACGCACAAGGCAACATCCTTTTTCATTCCTGGCCACCAGTAATAGTCTTTTAGCCCTTTGTACATTTTATCGGATCCTGGGTGAATAGAGTATCTAGAGCGATGTGCTTCATCCAGGATTGTTGACCGGAGACTGTCGTTCCTTGGTATCCAAACTCTATTTCTGAAGTAACGCACCCCATCTTCTCAAATTTCAAATTCCTTTTCTAAGTGATGCAGGGTTTCGTTCTTCAGATTTTCCGATTTCAACGCCTCTTCTTGTGCTTCAAGAATTTGCGTTTTTAGGTTGGTTTGAATCAATATTCCCATGGCTCGTGCCCTTGACGGTTTCACCCTTTCTTTCCGGCTTAAGGCGTCTGCTACCACATTAGCTTTCCCCGGGTGATACTTTATTTCGCAATCATAATCATTGAGGAGTTCGA